AATGGTATAGGTTTGAATAATTGAGTCAATCTGGCAGGGCACAGTGACTCATGCCTGTAATCCCAGCACTTTTAGTAGGAGGCCAAGGCAGGCGAATCACCTGAGGTCGGGAGTTCGAAACCAGCCTGACCGACATGGAGAAACCACATCTCTACTAAAAATACAAAATTAACTGGGCATGGTGGCACATGCCCGTAATCCCAGCTATTCAGGACGCTGAGGCAGGAGAATCACTTGAATCTGGGAGGTGGAGGTTGTGGTGAGCTGAGATCACACCATTGCACTCCAGCCTAGGCAACAAGAGCGAAACTCCATCTCAAAAAATAGTAATGATAAAAATAAAAAGGAAAGAAAACAAGTCAATCCCATCAAATGGGATAAAGGCAGAAAAGCATCCATATAATTTTGCAATGAAGACATCAATAGTGATGTAAGCAAAACCCCTTTCACTAGATACAGGCAAAAACCAAATGAGAAGGACAAAAGAGAGGGAAGAGGGCATTCTTAGCAGCTACCACTTAGAACATGCCACTTCCAGGCACCGTGCCACGTGCCTCACATAACATCATAGTTTTTAATCCTTGCAATACTGCCAGATAGACACTACTATTCCCATTTCACAGATGAGAAAACAGAATCAAATGGGGTAAACTAATTTGTACTAGGTCACACTGCAAATAAATGTCAGAAATGGATTCTGACTTAATTCATCTAACCCCAAAAGCCATGTCATAATCACAATGGCAAGGCTGATAAGATGGTTTCAAGTCAAATACCAAACTGGAGGGGGAAAAAACCAATCTCACATGCCATAGATATAGAAAGCGTATTTTAGTCACTGACTTTAACAAAGGCACACTTAAGAGACCAACTTTTTTGAAGCTTAAAATCTTTATTGTCCTTTGATTTTGAGATCTAGTTTTAGTTTTTGGAAACTAGAATTACTTTATGATCCAGCAATCCCACTGCTGAATATTTATCCCTCAAAACTGAAATCAGATTGTCAAAGAAAGGTCTGTAGTTCACTGCAGCACTATTTGCAATACCCAAGTTATGGAATCAAGCTAAGTGGCCATTAACACATGAAGAGATCAACAGAATGTGGTAAATATACACAATAGAATACTATTCACCCTTAAACAAGAAAAATTCTGTCATTTGCAACAACATGGACAGAAGCGATGAATGTTATACTAGAGAAATAAGCCAGGCACAGAAGCACAATATAGGATTCCACTTACATGTGGAATCTAAAAGACAATGGAACTCTGCAGCAGAGAGCAGAACCATGGTTACAGAAGCGGGGAGCAGGGCACAGGGAGATGATGGTCAAAGGGTACAAAGTCTGTTAGACAAAAGGAACATATTTTTTCTTTTTTGCATTTTATTGCATGGTGTGGTGAATATAGTTAAACAGTTATTTTTTGGTGGCTCACATCTTTAATCCCAGCATTCTGAGAGGCCAAGACAGGAGGATCACTTGAACCCAAGAGTTCGAGAGAAGCCTGAGCAACAAAAAAATCAAAATGCCAGGTGTGGTGGTGCACACCTGTGCTCCCAGCTACTCAGGAGACTGAGGCAGGAGTATAACTTGAGCCCAAGAGGTCGAAGGTGCAGTGAGCTGTAATCACCCACTGCACTCCAGTCAGGACAACAGAGCAGGACTCTTGTCTTGTAATAATATATATATATATTTTAAATTAAAAAATAAGGCCTTGTATGGTGGCTCATGCCTGTAATCCCAGCACTTTGGGAGGTCGAGGTGGGTGGATCACCTGAGGTCAGGAGTTCAAGACCAGCCTGACCAAAGTGGTGAAACCCCCGTCTCTACTAAAAATTCAAATATTAGCTGGGCATGGTGGTGGGTGCTTGTTATCCCAGCTACTCAAGAGGCTGAGGCAGGAGAAACACTTGAACCTGGGAGGGGTGGCTGCAGTGAATTGGGATTGTGCCACTGTACTACAGCCCAGGTGACAGAGAGGACTCCATCTCCAAAAATCAATAAATAAAATAAAATAAAGGCTAAGGCTGAGGCCAGTGAGGTCCTCAGATTAGTCATAAAATCTAGAGCAATTACATGCAATCCTGTTTGAATAGCTTCAAAGGTTCTTCAGTATTGGGCAAGGGAAACACACCATCTCTGTGACATGGAACAGATGTCACTAAAAGCCCTCTGGAGGGGACTGAAGGGCTTGCCATTTATCCTTTGGCTGTAGCCAGAGCTGCAGAGACCAGACTAGAGCTGTGCTCCTGCAAACTAAATACAGGCACTGAAACAACTCGCAGACATCAAATTTAATTTCCTGATTGTCAATACCAGACAGGAATGACAATCAGCATCTTTTTCACTGTCCCTAATAAAGTAAGTTAGGCACTGTTTTATGCCACCGGCTTTCTACAGAACAAGACAAACCCATTAAATGAAAACGATTCTTTAGAAACCAAAGGCTGGGCCTAGTGGCTCATGCCTGTAATCCCAGCACTTTAGGAGGCGAAGGTGGGTGGATCACTTGATGCCAAGAGTTTGAGACCAGCCTGGCCAACATGGTGAAGCCCCATATTCAATAAAAATATAAAAATTACCCAGGCATAATTACCCGGGCACGCACCTGTAGTCCCAGCTATTCAGGAGGCTGAGGAATTGCTTGAACCCAGGATGCGGAGGTTGCTGATTGCGCCACTGTACTCCAGCCTAAGCAACAGAGGAAGACTCCATCTCAAAACAAAAACAAAAACAAAACAAAAATCTACCAGAAGGTGGACTGGATAGCTTATGCTTTTCTTTCTTAGAAAAGCATTTAACCCTTCCCAGCTGCCTAGGCCAGTACTTCTAGTCACTGATTGCGCAGATACCTAGCCTGGGTGTTTGTCCACCAACTGGTCCTAGATTTTTCATTTTCCAGCTAATTCTAAGTAGCCCAAATCCTCCCAATCTTTTTAGATCCACCTCAAACATCATTTCCTTTATGAGTTTCAGGCCGAGTGAAGTGGCACACACGAGAAAAACCCAGCACTTTGGGAGGCCAGGGCGGATGGATCACCTGAATTTGAGACCAGCCTGGCTAACATAGTGAAACCCCACCTCTACCAAAAATAGAAAAAATTAGCCTGGTGTGATGGCGGGTGCCTGTAATCCTGGCTATTCAGGAGGATGAGGCAGGGTAATTACTTAAACCTGAGATGCAGAGGTTGCAGTGAGCCAAGATTGCGCCACTGCACTCCGGCTTGGGCGACAGAGCAAGACTCCTCCAAAAATAAAAATAAAAAAAAGAAAAAACGTTTAATAGTAACCATAACAAAATTCCTAACAGCTGGTATACCACTATGGCAACTCCATCGCGGCACATCTTCCAGCCTATTGCCTCCTCTAAGAATGTTCCTTGCAGGCAGAAACTATTAATATATTTGCACTTAGGCCGGGCACACTGGTTCATGCCTGCAATCCCAGCACTTTGGGAGGCCGAGGTGGATGGATCACCTGAGTCAGGAATTTGAGACCAGCCTGGCCAACACGGTGAAACCCCATTTTTACTGAAAATATAAAAATTGGCTGGGCGTGGTGGCTCAAGCCTGTAATCCCAGCTACTAGGGGGGCTGAGGCAGGAGAATCGCTTGAACCCGGGAGGTGGAGGTTGCAGTGAGCAGAGATCCCGCCACTGCATCCCAGTCTGGGAGAGAAGAGTGAGACTCCGCCTCAAAAAAAAAA